CTACATCTAAAACCTCAATTTTGCAGATCATGATATAACAGACTTCAGATTTAACGGACAACATTTCTGGTATGTCATATGTGAAAATTAACATGCTGTTACTTTAAAAATGCTTTTAAACAAGAATTTGCTTATAAATTAACAGACTTGTTATTAATTCACTGTTACTTTAAACATTTAGCAAATTGGTCATATGTTGGGGAAAAACACTATAATAATATTACATATCTACAACTATAGTCTGCATATTTAAATCCAAGAGTCACTACTCAAACAATGCTCGGCAGATGATTAGCTTGTGTTCACACTGCATCTTGAGGTAATTGGTTCTGTTGTCCTATGACTTTCTGCGGTTTTAACTGGTGCTGGCCAGATGTTCCTATGTGTGCTAAGCCAAACCACAGCCATGTGCATTTGTTTCCTTGAGGTGACTGGTAAATGCATGCATTTACTAGACCTATTTAGTATAAACTTAAAATTACAGTAATACGTATAGAAAACCTCTGTGAAATTAAACTTTTCGTGCAGAATTTTAATTACACAAGCATGTCTACATAAGTAAAAACAGGTAAACTATTTTTTATTTCTTTTTAACATAATGAATTCAGAAAACCTACTTTATTTTATAACAGACTTTCAGCTTTGTCACCTCCGCACCCGAAATATCTGTTACATAGAGGTTTCACTTATGTTACAAATATCTTTATGCCTTCCATAACAAGAACAGGGAAACACCAAGTCTCCTTTTCCAGTGTTTTTTATTTGCACATTTCACATTCATAAATAATTTTACAAATTTATTCTTCTTTCCTTTATTGATTAAGGTATTACATATGTGTCCTTATTTTACAGGTTCATTATTTATAGGCAAGATCAGGATTAAAGTGGAGCACTGAATGGTTCCAAAACATTACCAGCAAGAATGGCACGGAGTACAAAGGCTCAGAAAGAGAGAACAGAGCAAACAAGAGCAGTGTGTGGCCACTCCCTACCAGGCCGCAGGAACACTGACTTCATTAAGGCAAAACCTTTACTCTGTTATTTCTTTCCCCGCTCCTAGTTTAACTCAAATGAAAAAAAAAGGCATTCTATTCTCACACTATTGCTCTCTGAGGTCTTAATATAACGGGTATTATAAGCAACCAGATGTATCCTCTGACTATAAACACCTGAACAGACAAGTGAAATTTTGATGTATTAACCATCCCTCTGGGAGAATTTAAAAAAGGCAGAGTTGTTTTATCCTTAAGACTTTAAAAGAAAAATGGGGAGAGGTATACGTGTATGGTCATGGTGGAAGTGGAGGGGAGACGAAAGGGGTTCGAGGAGGGGAAAAGATGGTAAACCTAATGCTTCCCAGATACAACTTCCCTTGTGTTTTTCTCAGAGGCTGCTAATATAGTATTCTATCATATTCAGGAAAAAAAGATTGAGAGTTGTCTACCTTCAGTCAGTTGTAGGATGTAATGGGTAATAACAGAGAACTTACCCTGGGGAAGGAGTATATTCATTTCAAGTACTCAACAATGGAATTCAAATTTGTGTTCAACTATGTTCTCATCTAATTTGGTATGAGTTTTTTTCTGTTTTAAATTAAGATAGTTAACCTTTCTGTGCCTCAATTTTCTGCTTGTAAAAGGAGAATTGTAGTTCTTTATGTTGAGAATTAGAGATGCATAAAAAGCATGTAAGAATAGTGCCTGGCCAAATCAACAGAGACAGAAAGCAGACTGGTGGTTGCAGGAAACTTGGGAGAAAAGAAACAGGTAGTAACTGGATATACATTTTCTTTGTGGGATGATGAAAAGTTCTAAAACGAGAGTGGTGATAGTTGCAATTATATAAATATACTGAAAAAAATCACTGACTTGTACATCACTTTAAAAGGATGAATTTTATGATTAAGGGATCTTCATAAAGCTATAAAAATTTTTAAAAATAGAATAGTGCCTGGCACATAGTAAGTGCCCAATAAATATTAGCTATTATTAGTAGTAATATTATTGTCATTATTATTTGGCCATCCTATGGCCTAAGTAAATCCCTAAAAATTCTTTATTTTTAATAAAATTCCACAGAATCTAAAAAAGTATTTCTAATTTACATACATGGATTAACATTCACACATTTACTTCTATCTGAATTGCCTCAGAAATTAACAGGAGAATCACAATTTCACTATTTGTAATCAAATAGCTACATGCAATGGACATCTGATCACATTATGATAGGCTTTAGATAAATTCCAATGATTAGATGTTATCTAAAATTTTGAAATGACTAGAGATTTTCATTCATCTCCAGGAGTAAACAGAAAGTCCAGTAAATAGAATATATAAATGACATAATTAAGTTTTCATATACAAGCTTGCTAGCCTTCTAATCACATTTAGAGGGTACTTATAAAGAGACAACTGTAGTCAACAGAAAAATGCTTTCAGTCCCATGTCCTATGGCTCCACCTTGTCCAATAGAAAACCCCTGCCACAATGAAAAGACCCAATGCAACCCATGTAATAAGCCTTGTAAGAGGTAAAAGACTTGACAATGACTGACTGACTTTTAAGACTATACTGCATATTCAAATATGTTTGCATCAATTAAGTTTTTATAACCTGTAAAGCGATTAAATCCAGTCTTAACCATTCCTATTGCTAAAGAATATAGCAATGAGTCTCTATCACAGAAGTAGGAGCAAGTGATAAGCCATGATGCAAGTGATAAATCACACACTGTAATTTCATCTGAAGTATGAAACTTCCCAATTCCTGTAACAGAGTTGCCTTTGTTGGAGTCCCCTTCCTTTATAGTCCTCCTTTCTATAATTAGCCATGTGCCTTTGCAGCAAATCAGGGAAAGCTGTTTTGTCACAGAAAGCAATGCACTTTTTGTGTATAAAAAAATACTTATGCCCTCAAACTGACTACTTACTTTCAGAAAGATAATTAAATTTCCATTTTACCTTCATTTAAATCAAGTAAACCCATTTGCTAAGTCACCCAAGAGCAACAGATTAATACACAGAACAAACTGCCTTCACACCTACTATGTATAACCCTTTTCCATATGTACACACACAAATTCCTCAGAGTTGTGGCCTTAAGAATTTCTCACCAAATATTTAGCCTGAGTAAAATTTGATACTTAGTTTTGTTTTTATTTTTTGAGAAGTGTGGTTATTTCTTTAGTTTTACATTATAATCACTGAGACAGATTATAAAACAACTTTGGAACAGAGATCTTTTTAGTGGCAATTAGAAAATTTCAGACAAGTGATATGGATGATAATTTAGGACTAATTTCAAAATTAGTCCAGTTTCAAAATATTGATTTTACCTAACTAAAGCATTGGCTTAGTCATTGCATAGAATTTATTTTAAAATTTAAAAGGGAATTTGAAATAAATACAAAAATGTTAGCCTAGGCTGGGACAGAGGGGGCCAACTTTGTAATGCTTTTGTAGTTGAATATCATTCTAAGAACCTGTAGGAGTACTGATCCCCTGGTTAATTTGAGGATGGAGAATATATGTTTTTAAAATCATATATCCCTATTTAGGTAGTCTTTAAATACAAAATGAATAAATAAGTTCTATGCTAAAGAAATAATGTGGAATAAGAAATTCCTGTCTAAGTAATTGTATATTTACAATAAATGTTTTCTGCCTGATACCTAGTCTTTGTCTATTCAGAGTTCTTCAGTGTGCAATTTGTAGAAGGCAGCAGCTCATATTACATTAAAGGAACCCCATTTAGCTTAGAATCAGCCTGCCCCAGACACTCTACTCCCTGAAAAACCTTCACATTTGTGTGCATAAATAGCTAAGAATACATGTAAGTGCACATGTCTAAGGAAAGCTAATTTGCTTTACAAATAGTCCAAAACCAAGAAAATAAATTGCTATTCCCCACCCCCAAAACCACATCTAATGAAAAGATGGCAGCTGTAAAGCCAATTCATCCTACACTATGCTTTAATGTAGGCCATACTACACAGAATAATAAATAATTCCTTACACCTATGCTGTATTTAAACTTCCTCATTCTACCTTTAGGAGAAGGTGCCCACATATGCCTTAAGGAACCACAAATCTATATTTCGGAGTTCTACTTGGATAAATTCAAGCATTGGACCACTGAGAGCTTCAGTTAAAGGAACACTACATTTTGCTAACATCTTAACTTGAGTATTCCGAGCAAGGGTATAAGATTAAAACTAGAGCCACATGCAGGAGGCAGCCAATCAAGGATTCTCTCTCATCATTGATATTTCTCTCTCCATCTCCCTTACTCTCTAAAATTAATAAGAACATATTTTTTTAAAGACATTAAAACTATATTGTCACTAAGCTGCTGTTAAGCAGGGCAGTAAGGTGATGATACAGAAAGATTGAAATAAGTTAATTCTTTAAGTGTTCTTTGCTTTTATTTAAAGCAACAAGTGCAGAATTTTCTATGATCAAAATCTGAATACAGGTTAATGCATGTTTTCTTCTCCCACATATATGAACCCCATCTGCCATCATCTGTCATTGTCTTTTTAAACTTGAGAAATAAAAGAAAATGGACATAGACTTATTTATTCTAATAAGAGAGGCATATTCTAATAGTCTTAAGACAATGTGTTTAAGAACTACACCTAAACTAGTATTCTCAAAATTGAAAATAAGTTACCAAATCTGTTCAACTTGTGGGAGGTATCCATGTGCTTTCCAAGTCATTGTAGTCACCCAAATGGATCACAGTGTCCACTATCATGCCTTTAGAAACCATTATACTATTACTATGCACATGTATTTAAAAGAAATAGAGAAGAGTAGATAAAAAGAACAGCCTTTCAAACATCAGTTCCTTACATAAGTGGTGACAGTGCTTCACATAGCCAGTTACAAAATACCTCCAAAATTAGACAAAATAAAGCCAGAGGCAAAGTTCCATGGGAATTATATTGTTCAGATGAGCTTTCAATTCACTGGTTTTTAATTTCCATTTCCTGATTTACTAAGGAGTAAAGGTGAGAATCATCCAACTGATAACAAAATAGAACAAGAAAACAGGATAAATGGCAAGGGCTTTGCGATTTGGAGGCTGGCTGTCAGCAAGAAAAGCTGTAGAGGCTGGAGAAAATAAAACAAAACAAAAAAGAATATTGAATACAATGAGATTGTCATAACTACTAACATTTACTAACGTTAATGTGTCTGGAATAGAGTTATACTAAAGGTTCACTTATATTTGCAAATCCGAGAAAAAGGCATTCTGCAGCACAGTTTTCCTGACAGCTGAAAAAGGCATTCTGCAGCACAGTTTTCCTGACAGCTTGTTTCAAGTACCAAAGCTTTGCAAGTTTTCAACATTTCAGATGGAAACCCTTCCAAAAGGGGTCTCTTACTGTTTTCCGAGAAATCATTAAACTGTGATGAATAGGCTTACAATAATGTACAAGTTTTTTCGCTACTATGGCAAATGGCCTTATACTGCTGGGTCTTTTGAGTAATTGTTCTTCTTATTAGGTTAGCTCTTTTAGATGCCATCCCTCTTGTCCACCCAGAAAACACCTAATTATCAATGATCACCCTGCTAAGAAATCTTTCCTGAACAACCAGCTGGTATTCTGCCAGCTCATGTAAAACTGCCCACTTCCCTCCTGTGGGTCCCTTCTGTGCCTACACAGACTTCCATCTCCCACCTGAAACTACATTGTCTTTACGTACTTATATGTCTAGCCGATCCACTGGACTGTGGACTCTGAAGACAGAGTTCATGCCTAGCACAGTGCCTAAGACATAATTTGTACTTTATAAATATTTGCTGAATTAAAGAATGAATGCTTCCAAAATTCTACTTTCTGAACTGCTATGGGCCTGGATACTGGATACCTAAGCTGTTCAGAACCACATGTATGATAAATTATCAGACTCTAAGTGAAGAAATCTGGGACTTTCCCATAGGTAAAGCACCCAAGCTTAATAAACAGTCTTTGGAATATCAATTCTGGCCCTCTCAAACTTTTTTTAAATTATTATTACTTCTTGGCTTTTAACTATTTTCTAAGCAAAGAGATATTACTGCACCTAAAATATTAGGCAGGCTGTTTATCTCATTTAATAAGATGCCAGTGAACACTTCTAGTGTAAAGTAGAATTTTAAGATAATTTTAGGAATGCTAAAACAATCAGCACATAGCATTCAATTCCACTGCTATAGATTCTTCCTAATCTTTAGCAGAATTTTCTACTGAAGCAGGAAAGTGCTATATAATGATACTTAACAACCTATATTGGGAGGTAGTATAGTAAAGTTCTAAATGTGATCTGCTTGGGTTGGAACTTGATTTATCTATTCAGTAGTTATATGTCCTAAGGCAAGTTACTTCACCTCTTGGAGTCTGTTCCTCATCTATAAAAATAGGACTATTAACAATAGTTTTTATTTATTAGGGTCATTGTGAGGGGTAAATGAGATAATACATATAAATCACTTATAATAGTGCTTAATCTATGATTAGCAATATGTAAATGCTATTATTTTTATTTTGTCAGGAAAAGACCCAGCATTTCTCAAGTCACCTATGTTTCCTATACACTGAGTTGCCAGATTATTATGATCTCTGAAGGCATAATGATCTGGTCACTCAGTGTATATACCAGGACTGAGCTAGGTCTACTGTAATCTCCTTTTCCAACCCTATGCAATATTTAAGGATTAAAAAAAAAAAAAAAAGGTATGACTCGCCCTGCTGGTGTATCTCAGTGTTTGAGCATTGACCTATGAACCAGGAGGTCACAGTTGGATTCCCAGTCAGGGCACATGCCTGAGTTGTAGTCTCCATCCCCAGGAGGGGGCATGCAGGAGGCAGACAATCAATGATTCTCTCTCATCATTGATGTTTCTCTCTCTCTCCTTCTCTGAAATCAATAAAAAATATTTTTTAAAAAGTATTACTCCCACATTTTAGAAGTCCAGATACCTAATTCAGATAAGATGGATATCATATTTTAAAATGCCCATTTAGAACAGAGGGTTCTATGGACAACATAGTCAAGAATCATATTACTTACATGTGAGTTAGGAGTTACACTGCTTTTCATCTGATCTTTATCTCTAACACACGCTTTTTTCTGCTCTGCTATTATATTACATTTTGACTCCTGTGACAGGCAACCAATCAATATGTCTCTCTCACACTGATGTTTCTCCTCCTCCCTTCCACTCTCACTAAAATTCTATGGAAAAATATCCTCGGGTTAACAAAACAAAACAAAAAAGTATATTCTTACCTACTATAGACCAGGCAAACATCACGATCACCACAAAAAGCCGGACTATGAAGTTTATTGGTCCTGGCTTAGCCAAAAGTACCAGCCGACAAACCAGCAATGCCACTGTCAAGGGAAGTATACAATAGCCCAGCACACAGAGGCTCTGAAAAAAAGATCTAAAAAGCAAAGCACACATGAAAAATCATAAACATAGTATCATGATAGTTATTACAGACTTCTACATAATACCTATACCCTAAAATTAACTTTATGAGGCTAGGCCTCTGCATTAGCATATGCTTTAATTTCTCTCCATACTCTTCCTTCTCTCCTTTTAAACTCCTTAAGAGTCAACCATCTAGGATATCAGATGATCTACTCTAATTCCTAAAGACCTTTCTCCCACTGAAGCTCTAAGAAAGTTCTTAATCTTTTCAAGTTTATAGACCTATTTGAGAATTTGTTGAAAGCTATTCCCCAAAATGGACATAATCCTCTAACACAAAAATTCTGCCTATGATTTTAGAGCTGGAGAGAGCATCTGAAGCTTATCAAAGGACTCTGGATAATTTAAGATAATTTAACTCAACCAAGTTATCTCTGTTCAGTGGTTTTTATGAAAACATCCTCTTTATCCCTCATTTATTTTGATTTTTCTTTTCAAAAATTACCTAACTAGCCCTGCCAGTGAAGGTCATTAGTTGAGCACCGGCCTATGAACCAGGAAGTCAGAATTCAATTCCTAATCAGGGTACATGCCCGGGTATCAGGCTCAATTCCCAGTAAGGGGTATGCAGGAGGCAGCCAATCAATGATTCTCTCTCATCACTGATGTTTCTATCTCTCTCTTCCTCTCTCTACCTCTCTAAAATCAATAAAAATAAAAAATATTACCTAACTAGCCAGGCTCCCTTAAAAATCTTAGATATGCTATCTAAAAAAATAAGAAAGGATAGATTTTAATAATACTCACATATTTCCTCCAAGAAGTTTTGAGTTGAGGGTGATGGTAACTGCACCAAACCAGATAATGACAAACACTTCTGCAAACTGGGGCCCTCCATCATTTTCATTATCTGCAGAGCCTCTTTGAAGCATTCTATGACAAAAGAAAAATGGCATGAAAATTGACTATTCTTTTACTTAAAGCAATGAAGTTAAAACATGGGTTCTCAAAGTTTGAATCAGGGAGCTACCCTACACGTCACCTGAAGATCTGCAATACATAGGCTATGTGAAAGGAAAATTCCAGGATTTGTTACGCCTCCATTCTTTTTTTTTAAATTTCTTTATTGATAAAGGTGTTACATATGTGTCCTTATTCCCCCATTACCCCTCCAATCCCCCCAACTCATGCCTTCAGCCCCCTGGTGTCTGTGTCCATTGATTAGGCTTATATGCATGCATACGAGTCCTTTGGTTGATCTCTCCCTCTTACCCCCACCTTCCTCTATCTTCCCTCTGAGGTGTGGTCATCTGATTGATGTTTCTGTGTCTCTGGATCTGTTTTTTGTTCATCAGTTTATGTTGTTCATTATATTCTATAAATGAGTGAAATCATGTGATACTTATCTTTCTCTGACTGGTATATTTTACTTAGCATAATGCTCTCCAGTTCCATCCATGCTGTTGCAAATGGTAAGAACTCTCTTTTTTATTGCAGCATAGTATTCCATTGTGTATTGTACCAGTTTTTAATCCACTCATCTACTGATGGGCATTTAAGTTGTTTCCAAATCTTAGCTATGGTGAGTTGTGCTGCTATGAACATAGGGGTGCATATATCCTTTCTGATTGGTGTTTCTAGTTTCTTAGGATACATTCCTAGAAGTGGGATCACTGGCTCAAATGGGAGTTCCATTTTTAGTTTTTTGAAGAAAAGCCATACTCTTCTCCACAGTGGCTGTACCAGTCTGCATTCCCACCAGCAGTGTACGAGGATTCCTTTTTATCCACATCATCACCAGCACTTGTCATTTGTTGATTTGTCGATGATAGCCATTCTGACAGGTGTGAGATAGTACCACAATGTCCTTTTGATTTGCATCTCTCTGATGATTAGTGACTTTGAGCATGTTTTCATATGCCTCTTGGCCTTACGTCTTCTTTCGAAAAGTATCTATTTAGGTCTGTGGCCCATTTTTTTATTGGGTTGTTTATCTTCCTTTTGTTAAATTGCATGAGTTCCCTGTAAATGTTGGAAATTAAAACCTAATCAGTGATAACATTGGGAAATATGTTGTCCCACGCAGTGGGCTTTCTTGTTGTTTTATTGATGGTATCTTTTGCTGTGAAAAAGCTTTTTATTTTGATGTAGTCCCATTTGTTTATTTTCTCTTTAGCTTCCATTGTCCTGGGAGCAATATCAGTGAATAAGTACTTTCGGCATATGTCTGCAATTTTGCTGCCTGTGGATTATTCCTCTAGTATTTTTATGGTTTCCCGTCTTCGGTTTAAGTCATGCCTCCTTTGTTGAAAATTGGGCATAATGGTTTGGAACGATTTCTGGGTTCTCTATTCTATTCCATTGATCTGTATGTCTTGTGCCAGTACCAGGCTGTTTTGAGAACAGTGGCTTTGTTATACAGCTTGCGATCTGGTATTGAGATTCCACCTACTTTGTTCTTCTTTCTCAGGATTGCTGCATATATTCGGGGTTTTTTATTCCAGATGAATTTTTGGAAAGTTTGTTATAGGTCTGAGAAATATACTGTTGGTATTTTAACGGGGAGTGCATTGAATCTATACATTGCTTTGGGTAGTATGGACATTTTAATGATGTTGATTCTACCAATCCATAACATGGTATGTTCTTCCATCTGTTACGGTCTCCTCTATCTTTTTTTTCTTTCTTTCTTTCTTTTAAAAAATATATTTTATTGATTTTTTACAGAGAGGAAGGGAGAGAGATAGAGAGCTAGAAATGTCGATGAGAGAGAAACATCGACCAGCTGCCTCTTGCACACCCCCTACCGGGGATGTGCCCGCAACCAAGGTACATGCCCTTGACCGGAATCGAACCTGGGACCTTTCAGTCCGCAGACCGACGCTCTACCACTGAGCCAAACCGGTTTCTGCTCTATCTCTTTTTTCAATGTCCTGTAGTATTCTGTGTATAGGTCTTTTACCTCTTTACTTCTAGGAGTTTACTTCTAGGTATTATATCTTAATTTTTTTGGTGCGATGGTAAATGGGAATGCTTTTTTAGGTTACCAAAGAGATCAAAGAAGAAATTAAAAACATCCAGGAGCCGAAACCAGTTTTGTTCAGTGGATAGAGCATTGGCCTGCAGACTGAAGGGTCCCAGGTTCAATTCTGGTCAAGGTCATGTACCTTGGTTTCGAGCACATTCCCAGTAGGGGTGTGCAAGAGGCAGCTGATTCTCTCTCATCGATGTTTCTAACTATCCCTCTCTCTTCCTCTCTGTAAAAATAAATAAATAAATAAATAAATAAATAAATAAAATATATATTTTTTAAAACAAACGTTCTGGAGGAGAAATAGACATGGTGGAGAAACCAAGATAGCGATAGCAGCAAAGGTAAACAACTACACTGCTGCCTCACACAACAATTTCAAAACTACAACTAAAAGACAAAACGTCTATCACCCAGAACCATATGAAAGCAGGCTGAATGGAAGTCTTACAACTAGAAGGAAAGAGAAAGGAGCACAAACACTCAAAAGCTGAGGTACAGAGGCACACAAATCAGGCTAGTGGCGGGCGACTGGGCGCACAGCATTTTTTCAACCCGAAGGGAAACAAGCTCCTGATTACTTTGAAATCTAGTTTCTGGGGGCAGGTGGGGGACACTTATCGCCTATGGAGAGAAGCTGGTCTGTCGGCCACCGGGTAGGAAAGTGAGGGTGACTTTTTTGCAGAGGTGCGAGCAGCAATCATTGTTTACTGCGCTGGAGCACAGGACTTATTAGAAACGTGGAAAGGCAGAGAAGACTCACAGCAGCCTTCACTGTTTGCCATGCCCTAGCCTAGTGACACCCTGAAACCCCGCCCTGCCCTGAGACCCCTGGCCCACCCTGAGACACCACCCGCACATTCTAAAAACCCTTCCAGGCTCCACACAGCAGCTTTTGTATATAAATGGCTTGCCCAGTAGAAGCTTAACCAAACTAACTGGAGCTCCAGTCAGACTATTCCAAAACCGCCAAATCCCAAGGAAACGGAGAAAACTGTAGTTCTTGATGTAGCTCCTGCTGGGTGGCCTCAGACAGTAGCTGACCTGAACCGCATTGGAGATCCTGAAACTAGTGTATCTAGTGGTTCAGTGTGAGATGTCACTAGATTTCAACTACTCTAATAAGGGACACATTCAAGAGGCAGACTCCGTGACCACCAAAGCCCTACTGGAACAAGTCCTATCCCATAAACGTGTCTCCAGCACAGCTATTCTTCCATTATAGACACAGCAGGTCCTCACAGCCAATTGGCCTGAAGGTCAATTCCTTCCAGTAATACCAACAACAATCAAGACGTAATTACAACAAGGCTGTACACACAGTCAACAAAGGGGTGCACCAAGAGTTCCCATATCAGGTAACTGGGAGGCTGACCCATTGAACCATATAGGACACCTACCACACAAAGATACCCTACCAACTCAGGGAAGCAGCAAAAATGATACAAGGAAACAAATCACAAAGTAAAGAAATGGAGGAGAACAAACAACTGGACATAGAATTCAAAACCATGGTTATAAGGTTCTTCAAGAATTTCCTAGAAAATGCCGATAAATTTAATGAGACCCATGAGGATATGAAAAAGGACTAACTAGAAATTAAGCATACACTGATTGAAATAAATATTAAACAGAGACCCAAGAGCAGACTAAAGAAACACAAGAATCAAGTCAAAGATTTGGAATACAAAGAGGAAAAGGACACTCCTCCGGAGAAGAAGAGAAGAGAATCCAGAAAGTTGAAGATAGTATAAGAAGCCTCTGGGACAACTTCAAGCACACCAGAAGAAGAGAGCGAGCAAGACATTGAAAACCTATTAGAAAAAATAATGACAGAATACTTCCCCAACCCAGTGTAAGAAATAGACTTACAAGTCCATGAAGCACACACAACACCAAACAAAAGGAATCCAAAGAGGACCACACCAAGACACACCATAATTAAAATGCAAAGGGCAAAAGACAAAGAGAGAATCTGAAAAGCAGCAAGAGAAAAAACGGTTAGTTACCTACAAGGGAACACCCATACACAGCTGATTTCTCAACAGAAACTATGCAAGCCAGATGGGAGTGGCAAGAAATATTCTAAATGATGAATAGCAAGAACCTACAACCAAGATTACTCATCAAAGTTTTCAGAATTGAAGGGCAGCCCAAAACCGGTTTGGCTCAGTGGATAGAGCATCGTCCTGCGGACTGAAAGATCCCAGGTTCGATTCCGGTCAAGGGCATGTACCTTGGTTGCGGGCACATCCCCAGTAGGGGGTGTGCAAGAGGCAGCTGGTTGATGATTCTCTCTCATTGACGTTTCTAACTCTCCATCCCTCTATCTTCTTCTCTGTGAAAAATCAATAAAATATATTAAAAACAAACAAACAAACAAACAAAAAAACGAATTGAAGGGCAGATAAAGAGCTTCACAGATAAAAAAAAAAAGCAAATGATGTTCATCACCGCCAAACCAGTATTATATGAAATGCTGACAGGTATTCTTTAAAAAGAGGAAAAAGAAGAAAAAAGTAAAGATAAAAATTATGAACAACAAATATATATCTGTCAACAAGTGAATCTAAAGTCAAGTGAATTAAAAATCTGAGGAATAGAATAAACTGGTGAATATAATAGAAACAGGGGCATAGAATGGGAGGGGATTGATTAATCTCAGAGGGAAAGGGGTGTCTGTGTAGGGGGTACAGGAAGAGACTGAACAAAAATCATATACCTATAGATGAGGACAGCGGGGGAAGGGGGGAAAGGGCTGAGGGTGGAGTGGGAACTGGGTGGAGGGGAGCTATGGGAAGAAAAAGGAGAAACAATTGTAATAATCTGAACAATAAAGATTTATTAAATTTAAAAGAAAAGAAATAAACATGGTGCTTTAATAATTGTTACAATAAAAAAT